AGTAATCTAATCTAGGTCTACCTCTACCCCTCCTAACTCCCGTTTCTGCCTCTAATATGTCTCTGACTAGACCTTTATGCCCGAGAAGGTGTCCTACCAACCTATCTCGCCTATTTCTTATTGACTTCCATAGAGTCCTCTGTTCTCCTATTCTTTCTAATTCTCCTTCTCCATCCGCGGTATCCTTATCATTCGTCTGTAAAATCTAAAAAAGTTTTAGGGAAATGCGAAGATTAGCTCAGGATAGAAGAGGTGCGTATCCAACCTGTCTTAAGACTAACGACCCTATCATGATTTCAAATAAATCACATTGCTAGATTTAAGCAATGACAAAATCGTGTTATATGTTATAAATTTCGAGATGGAGGAGCCCAATTGTGAGGTAAGGTAGGGTAACGGAAGTATTAAGATGTATCATCATCATCATCATCATCATCATGAGGCTATCAGTCTGAAAACTGGACACGCACCTTCCTGTTTCGAGGCACTTTTCCGAAAATTGGAACATTCCATCATCTTATCTCTCTCCTTTTCCTTTTTGACTTCCTTTGTGTTCTCCTACTCCTTACAGGGTACTTGAACTTCAACATTCCCTACCTTTTCTATCCTCATCATCTCCCACGGTTGCTCCAATGAGTTATTTTATGACGATATACGCGGTTTTAGCCACAATTTAACGCCTGCATTTGGTCATTTTTTTGCAGACCCTTACTAAAGGTGCCAACGAACCACATATGGCTTGCGGGCCTTTGTTTGCCAACCGCTGCTATAAGTTATTATCAGATTTGGAAGAAGGTTGTGGTAATTCTATGTGGCGCTTGCATCGCCCGCATTATTTACTTAAAAAATACTACACTAAATGTGTAATTATTACATTTTTATATTATATACTCGTTTTCTGACACGTATGGGTAAGCAAATTAAGGAAGTATTAGTAAAGGTCGTAGCTTTTTGTTTCACGAAGGCTTCGAAACACTTCCTTTCCTTGAACATCAGCGTTTAGCAAATAATTGATGAACAAACGAAATTTNCTTTATATTCGCTCTTTCCCTATTTTTTCTTTCCTTGCATACCAGTATTTTTGTTTAACTTTTATTTATTTTCAAACAATACTGTTTTCTTAATAGCGCTTCTATTTTATTTAAAGCTGTCTCTAACTCCTCTTTGCTAGATGCTAATACTGCATATCTAAGCATACTAATCTTTTGCCCCTGTATATCTATCCCTACAGTTGTACTGTCTTTAATGATGTTGATCGCGTCTTTGATGTATATACAGTGTAAACTCTACATAACGACACTTAAGGGAGTGAACATTTTTCGGCGTTATAAAGAGTGGTCGTTAAATGGAGAGAAATAAAAGATACTATTTTACTATTCTATAATAATATGCATTTACCAATATAGTACACATTTTGCACACGAACATTATTATTCATACATTGCGTATAGCCTGTTATCTTCGTCTGATGTTTTTTGCTGCTCCAATATTTTAATTGTATTTTGTTACGTATCTTAATCATATCTTGAGGTACTGCTGGATCAACTTGATTATATAAAAAGTATTTTTTTAATAGTTTCGCTGCATCAGGTGCTTGTTTGATGCTTGGTGGACGGACAGGATCGTCTTCTTCAACAACGTACACAGCTGCAGTTCTTACCTATTTCGGCAACTTAGAAAGTACTGCTCAATGATTTCTAATGCCGCATTGTTGTCGTTAAATAGAGTGAGCGTGACGCTATATAGAGTGTCATAATGTATATAAAACAATGTAAACCAACCAAAGTCAAGCAATTTCGACGTTTTAAGGAGTTTGTCGTTAAATCGAGTGACGTTATAAAGAGTTTACACTGTATTAAAAAGTAGCGGTGACAGTTTACATCCCTGTCTGACTCCCTTCCTTGTCAATTTAAAGTACGAAATTATTTAACTTACAGAACTTTTTGTGTATTATATTGGTTGCTCCTACAGGTACCTAATATTTAATGTTAATTTAGGTTTATTAGGATCTTTCATTGTTTATCTGTAATGTTTGTAGGTGAAACCTTTTTCAATGAAATTGATTGAATTATCAATCATTTCCATAAAAACAAATAAAAATAAAACTGTAAAATTCCTAATAATCCGTAATTGTACAGGACATTTCCACATAACTTGAATGTGGGCACTTGCCCGACACAAAGTGCATCGTTTGCATTACCTTAGCTCTGTCTTTGATCTAAATGTATTCCTACTGCAATTTCGTCTTTATCACGTTGGCTTTAAGCCCCACTTTGTAATTGTTGGCCCGCTTAGGCCAGTGACATGCAGTGCAGTTTGTTGCTGATGTGAATCGTCGACCACTTTCAGTTTCGTACGCATAGAAGTAGCGGTGTGTTGTCGTGATCGCGTCTACCGCGAGTTCGCGGGGATTCGATGTTCTGTTTTTTTTTTTTATTTATTTATTTCGTTATCTTTTTGTGTTTCGTTGTTTGTTTATTGTTGCGCGTATATTTTTTTTGTATCCGTTCGCTACACGCCAGAGTCGCACGTCTTCGCAGGCAATGCACAAGAAATTTGATGTTGTTCTTGTTGTTTGTGAACGAGGCAATTAGCTTGCGCTTTCATTGATGGATTTCCATTGTTTACATGCATACATGCGTTCACCTGATGATTATGATCATGCTTTCGAATGCCTCTTTGAACTATTACACGATTTGTTGAGGTAATTATTCTTCATGCGATTGCTTTTTCTCATCTGCTGGATGGGATACTTACGTATGTAGGTTTAATTATCCTTTTTTATTATTAAGACAGGTAATTGGTAGATTTGTTTTAAAAACCTTATCAAAGAGAAGCCATTAAAATAATAATTGTAGCGCTGGTGGTGATATATGAATGTGATATAATAAATTAGAAAGTGTCTTTCACATTCTTCTTACATAATGTTTGTTTATGCGGGAATGTATGGAGACAAAAATAATGGTAAAAAGGGATGAAAATTATAAAAGACAGATTAATATCAAACAAAATGCAGAAATGAATAAGTTACAGATCATATCTGTAAGAGGACATTAGGGCGGTAATTGGATTTTTTAGTTTTCCGTGAGGATATGTTTTTCGTCTATATTTCCCGAATAAAAAACATACACGAAAAAAAGGACTTGTAGTTATCTATAAATGTTGTAGTTTTACGTGTTTATTTGTTTGCCATTTTGATTTGTTGAGACAAAATTGTTTAAACAAATTACAAAAGTGGAAAATGCGATGTAGCTGTTGGATTCTACGTAAGAAATGACTGTGAAATTTTTTGTCGGTTTTTACTTTGTTGGTGTAAAATCTGGAAAAATAATTGCGTAGTGCCACTAAGTCATAGTATTTAGCTTCATTGTTTATAATAATTTTATTCAAATATAATGAAATCAAATGACAAAGTGTCAAGAGATTTTGCTCTTCATCATTCGGCTTGAGATTTAATGGAAGAAAATTTTAAGTAAAACCAAAATTTCTAAAGTTTGTATTGTAAATTCGAGTTTTTTTAAACACCAGTAAACTAACGATATGCTGTCTTGACGAGAAAAATGCATAAGAAGTTTTTTTTACAAATTTTTGCTCTTTTCATTTGGTATCATTCGTGTTTTTTTTTTGTTTAGGAGATATGAAAGATAATGCGAAATAAGTCCAATGAGTAATGAGTTACTAGGGGCTATTTTTGAAACATAGTTCTTCTTGTATTTGTAACTCTTAATGTTGTTTGAAAGAAAAAGAAATGAATAAGAAATTTTGAATCACTAGTTTGTTATTTGCTCAACGTTTTAGTTTTCTATCTGAACCAATTTTTCATTTCCGATATGCAATTTTTTGTATAGTTTTTAGGATTGTAATAAACAATTACCTCTAACGTTCCCGCCAAATTGCAAGGATAAATGTTTTAAACGTCACTGCTTATGAGATGCATTATTAGCATTCACGAAGTTTCGTCTAACATAGTTGGGAATCTTTGTTTCAATCTTTAACAATTAGGATTCCTGGCTATGACAAAGGTACAGCTACATGAAATTATCGATAATATAGTTCAAATACCTACATAACACGTTAAGGATTACTTCATGAATGTTGAATTATAGCAGTCTCTCATAAGGCTACGTTTAGGAAAATATGAAAGTACACTTTTAGGTATTAAGCAAATAAAAAGTATTAAGTAAATTATTATTGGAACATAAGCATAACGTCATCATAGGGTCGTCAGTCCTAAGACTGGTTGGACATCTACCTCCACTTTTTCCTATCCTGAGCTAATCTTCGCATTTAATCTAATATAATCTATGTCTGAACTATTTACAAATATACACAGCGCAAAATTTGGAGATATTTAGGGTAGTAGTTTAAAAAATATCCGATCATTCAAATTATTACACGTATTTTTGAATAAGTATTAAAAAACTTATCAACTAAAAAAACATTTTGGTTTGTTAGAAATGTAATTTTAAAAGTTTCAGGGGAAAGCCAGGAACTTCAATGCGTTGACAATTTAATTAAGTCAACATCTTAAATAGCGAAGATCAAACTCGAGACAATGGATACTTTTTAAAAGTACTTACTCTACAATCAGTAATTAAGATACGTGAAGTTATGATGTGAAAATTACATCGTAATAATAATAACAACAATAATTAAACAAAGCATAATTGATGGTTCCTTTTCCTATTTCTTAAACTGAAAACGGTTTCTCTTTATTTGACCATAAAAAACGCCAGACTAATGTTAGCGAAACCAACAGAGCGATACCGAGCAACAGATGTTTGACTTTGAAAGACTACTAGACATATAAATTAGTAACATGCGTACGTATATATGCGATACACCAACAATTACGTTTCGATAATTTAGGCACTTTCGCTTTTCATCGTTTTACAAACAAAATCCATTGTGTTTCCTCTATAATTTCATTTTCAGTAAACATTAATGTTTTTATGTCCGTCATTATGGTGATTTTAATGACGTGCACCTACTTCTGCTTACAATTACCATTTACAAGAAGTAGAAATCCTTTTGTATTTAACTCATAATGTAACCAATTTTCCAGGACAACTTCATTTATTTATGCAGTTGTTGTTTATTCCTTAACTAGTGACCCGCCCCAGCTTCGCACGGGTGCAATACTGATATTAAATATATTTTTGTTTTGTTTAGATTATTATCGAAAATATCGAAAAGGGGAAATCAAAAGATACCCCCTAAACATACTAAATACTTCAAAATTTTAAATCTGTAATATTTTCGAAAATATTCATTTAAATTACATGTTGTAAAGGGCCATATTGATCTATATTAAATGCACAATGTATTTAAGATACTTAATTGGATAAGGATTAATGTCGTATTGCTTAAAATCGCTTCGTAAATAAGCCATTATTTCTCGTAAAAAGTAAAGGATAAAAAATGGTTATTGTGGGTTATCCCCAAGAGATAGACATATACCATCGCGGACTTTTTTGTAAACCCTTTTAAGATATACAATATTGTAGTACATTATTTTGATCTATCTCGTAGGGTTCAGCCAGCGTTTGCAATGTAAGTGCAAAAAATGTGTTTATTTACATCACATTAGAAACCTCTAAAATTATCAGTGTGTTCCTACTATATTATGCATGTATTATACATATAAACCTTCCTCTTGAATCACTCTATCTTTTAAAAAAAAATCGCATCAAAATCCGTTGCGTAGTTTTAAAGATTTAAGCATACATAGGGACAGACAGCGGGAAAGCGACTTTGTTTTATACTATGTAGTGATTATTTCACTGCATATTTGTATCGCTTATCAAATGCATCTATACCACCGTTTAGATTTATTTATGTCACCTGCCTTTAATCAACTCCCTTCAATCGGACCATTTAAACACTTGATATTAATTTCGGGAAGTTTCTCGCCACTCCCTTTTGTCGCAAGGGTAGCAACTTTTAGTGTGCCGTTTCATCCGGTGTTGCAAACATGCTGTTGTATCGATCGCTGCCTCGGGCGTTCGCTCATAATATTTGATAAAAGTAGAGTTATTCAAATTTTGAATTTAATAGTAACTAATTATTATTGTAAATTTGCATTCCGACCAACAATTAGCTTTCTCTTGTCTAAAAGTTTAATTTGCGAGTTACGAGTTTGTCATCAGGCTGATTTGATTATTAGTCCAATATAATTAAACTTGTCGATCTGCAAATATTTAAAGGAGAGCTAGCTTACAAGCAACATATGCAAAGTTTCCCCGCACTTAATAAGTCAAGTGTAACAGCTTCCTTCATCATTAGTTATTATATTATTTAGACGTACCTATAGGAAGGAAAAGTTTTAATCTGCGAGGCAATGAAAAATTTCTTTTATAGAACGTTAAATTCGTTTTATTATTAGGTATGTCTCTTTAGTTTGTTGACAATGAAAAATATAATTGTGAAACGTTTTGGCTGTTTTTTCATTAACTAAAAAAAAACAAAATCATTCCAATAAAAATTTGTCCTTGAAGATGAACTATCTGAGATTATTGCAGGGGTTTCCCCTGGGCAGTGTTACAAGGGGACTTTTTCAATTCTATGGCTAGCTTTTCCATCAAAGGGTATCAAAGTTGACCAAACTTTTTCCGTAATTTTATATTTTATACAACTCGATTCTGATGGTTAATTAGAGCATATGATTTTGAATATCATGTTTATTTTTATATAATTTCAATATTCCTTACTAAAAAATATTGATTGTTTTCTTTCAACCATAACTCTTTTATTTCAAGTGGTATTAGAAAAATTCTTTCAAATTCTCAGTGAGCATGTTGACTTTTCAATCACCGAAATCCTCTTTAAAATGTTTCATCACCAGGAGACGACAGAGATGACAGAAGTAATAAAAATCAATTCAGTCAATTAAAATAATTACATTAGTGAGCTTTATGATATAGGATAATATAATTGTATGGAAAACAGTGAGAGTAGAGATAAGTTTCGTTTAAATTTAAATTCCTTGTAGACAAAAAAAAAGTTGAAAACTGATTATTACTTATTAACGCATTTGTTTTATCTTAACAATTTCCGTTCTTGGTAATTCATGGTAACATAGTTTTCATTTTGTATCATTTGTTGCGAATTATGCTATATAAAAATATCCAATTTGCATCCTACGCTAGACTAAATAAATTTTCTGTAATGAATGCAGATATTATATGTAAAAGCACGTGTTCACACATCCTTTATGCATCACATGAGCAAGCAACCGGAAATTTTAACATAAAGACTTTAACGGAAATGATTTAATCATGACTTAGGGGGCTTTGTATCAGGCTGATATTTTATGGTTTAATAACCTCTTAACAAAAATGTATGTTCACATATTCAAATGCTTTAACACGTTTTGTTCGTATAATTAACTTTATCATAAACGCAATGTTAACTGGCAGTGAATTTTCACTTTTAACTACTTACAATAAGTCATTTAATTGGTAAAAAAATTAAGGTCAATTATAAATTAGGATGGAAAAAGACGGAGATACACACAAAGTAAAGAATAGCGTAGGGTGGGGTCGTTTCTGGAAAAAAGAAATTATTATTGTCACTTTTTGAGTTTTTTGATTGTCATAGAGAGCTTTTTATTCTCAATCTTTCGTTGATACGCGTGAAGGAAATCTTCAGGAGTTTTTCTCTCTATGGTGGTAGGAAGAAGAACTCTTTCAGAAGATAAGAGGAGTAGAGGTAGATCTAGGTTAGATTCATAATCATCATTAGGTCGTCAGTCTTAAAACTAATTGGACACGCACTTCCACTCTGTCCTATTCTGAGCTAATTTTTGCATTTCCCTAATACTAGACCAACCCATATCCTTAACTATTTGCCGACAGTAATCTAATCTAGCCCTACCTGTACCTCTTGTTATTCCCGTTTCTGCCTCTAATTTGTCTCTGGCTAGACCATCATGTCTCAGAAGGTGTCCTACCAACCTATCTCGCCTATTTCTTATTGACTTCCATAGAGTCCTCTGTTCTCATATTCTTTCTAATTTACCTTCTCCATCCACGGTATCCTTATCATTCGTCTGTGAAATCTAAAAAGTTTTAGGGAAAAGCGAAAATTAGCTCAGGATAGTGGAGGTGCGTATCCAACCGGTCTTAAGACTAATGACTCTATTATGATTTTCATTTTAAATGCAAGCATTTCAAATAAATCACATTGCAAGATTTAAGCAAGGACAAAATCGTGTTATATGTTATAAATTTCGAGATGGAGGAGCCCAATTGTGAGGTAAGGTGGGGTAACGGAAGTATCAAGATGTATCATCATCATCATCATCATCAGTCTGAAAATTGGACACGCACCTTCCTGTTTTGAGCCACTTTTCCGAAAATTGGAACATCTCCCTCCTTAACTATTTGTAGTAATCATCTAATCCAGGGTTGTCTCATGTCTCATGAAGTGTTTCATCATCTTATCTCTCTTCTTTTCCTTTTTGACTTCCGTTGTGTTCTCCTACTCCTTAGGGGGTACTTAAACTTCAACATTCCCTACCCTTTTTATCCATCGTATCCTCATCATCTCCCAGGGTTGTTCTAATGAGTTATTTTATGACGATATATGCGGTTTTAGCCACAATTTAACGCCTGCATTTGGTCATTTTTTTGCAGACCCTTACTAAAGGTGCCAAAGAACCACATATAGCTTGCGGGCCTTTGTTTGCCAATCGCTGCTATAAGTTATTATCAGATTTGGAAGAAGGTTGTGGTAATTCTATGTGGCGCGTGCATCGCCCGCATTATTTACTTAAAAAATACTACACTAAATGTGTAATTATTACATTTTTATATTATATACTCGTTTTCTGACACGTATGGGTAAGCAAATTAAGGAAGTATTAGTAAAGGTCGTAGCTTTTTGTTTCACGAAGGCTTCGAAACACTTCCTTTCCTTGAACATCAGCGTTTAGCAAATAATTGATGAACAAACGAAATTTACACTTTGTCATCATAGATGACTTTGTTACTTTCTTTAAAGAACGGTAACACTGACGTGTTAATTAAATTAACTCGAAAAAGTTGCGATTGCTATTGTACATAGAAGTACAAACGACGAAATCGATGTCCTGGTGTGTCTACTTGCATAACGTCGTCTAAATATGACGGTTAACGATATTTTTTTCTTTCTTTCTTTCTTTCTTTAATAAAGGTCTTTATTGTCGAAAGCCAGTGTGAAAGCAGCGCGATATATGCGTGACAAGCCATTTCTAGTGTTCGAATTGTATTTTGCGATAATGTAACTGCTTTATGCATTTATATATAGGTTGGTAATACAAAACCTTTTTGCAGACGAACAAACTCTCTCTTTTGTTGGTAGGTACGTTGTTTAATCGTCTAACAATGTTTATGTAATCGATAGACGAAAAACTGTTCTTTAAGAATTCCGAGACACTTATTAGTTATGAACACTTTAAAATGATCCGTTTGATGGTTTAAATCAATTACTAGTTAATTTCGTTAATTTTATGTTTTTATTGTGTTTACATTTTTGACGTTTCATGTTCCAATTGGTCGCTCGATTTACCAACAACATAAAACTTTATGTACGCCGTTCCCACCAGTCACCTAAATAAACGAATGTAACATTTTGGGGAAATACCTATTGTAATTTTTTACTAAAGTTTCTTTGTGGTACATCTCAAAAATCAATCAATTCATGCAGGGATACATTTCAATTAATAAATGTGATTAAAGAACCAAACCTAAAACTTTTAATATCTTAAGTTGAATGTAACATTTTTTGACCAAATATTATATGGTTGTTTTATTGTAGTTAACCATCATTCATATATAAAACTTTCATTAGACTTTAATGCACCTTAGTTTATCATGATTTTGTTTACTAATTTTAAAATCCTAAATTTATTTATTGACTTTTCGTCAAGCATCATCATTAAACTAATTCCGCAAGGACAAGGGTCTCGCAAAGATCTATCCGCTTGGAGCCACGCAATGGCTAAGGCCGCCCCTGTATGTAAAGCACTCCTGCAAGATTTTTCAATTTTTTGTTAGAAAGAATAGATACTTCGAAAGATAAGTGCCGTTTTTTGACACTGGGGTTTGAGTTATTTATTGTTCTCTTGTAGTCAAGAAAATATTTCAAAAGTTACAACTATTAAAAAACTTAATAATTTAATAATATGTACATCTAATCGTCCCTAAACATACGCGCTATAGGATCAATTTGGTTTTCTGAAAATTAATTTTTGATTCACATATTCGTGCTATTTTTTAATCTATACATTGAAGACTCGACCAACATCATTAAAAACAGTAAAACTAGAGGGACAGATGTACAGGGGCAAAAGATTAGTATACTTAGATATTTGCAGATGATATAGCAGTATTAGCATCTAGCAAGGAGGAGTTAGAAATAGCTTTAAATAAAATGGAATCGGTATTGACAAAACAGTATTGTATGAAGATAAATTAAAGTAAAACAAAAATACTGGTATGCAAGGGAAGAAAATGTAGGAAAAGAGTGAATATAAAAATAGGAGACGAAGAATTAGAAGAAGTGGCTGATTTTAGGTGTCTAGGAAGTCAGATAAATCAGGACCGAAGGAGTAGTAGAGATATAAAACAAAGGATAGGGCAGGGTCGCATCGCCTTTAATAAAAAGAAGTCACTTCTGTGCTCGCGAACTATTAATTTAGAAATTCGAAAAAGATTGTTAAAGGTGTATGTTTGGAGTGTTACTCATTACAGGTGCGAAACATGGGCAATGGGCGCGGCGCAAAAGAAAAGCTTTCGAAATGTGATTTTACAGGCGAATGACGAGGATACCGTGGATAGAGAAGGTTAGAAATGAAGAGGTATTAGAAAGAATAGGAGAATAGAGGACTCTGCGGAAGTCAACAAAAATTAGGCGAGATAGGTCGGTAGGACACCTTCTTAGGCATGAAGATCTAGTCAGAGGCATATTAGAGGCAGAAACGGGAGTTAGGAGGGGTAGAGGTAGACCTAGATTAGATTACTGTTCTCAAATAGTTGAGGTTGAGGAATGTTCTAGTTTTAGGGAAATACAAAGATTAGCTCGGGATAGGAGAGAGTGGAGGTGCGTGTCCAACAAGTTTTAGGACTGACGACCTTATGATGATGATGATATTTGTGCTTGTCGCCCATATATCAGGGAACATATTGTTTCTTCTGTGACATATTAGTTAAAAAGTCGTTTTGAAAGCTTTCCGATGTCTGTCAGACACATGTTACCAAGTCGTATATTCTTTTCTTGTTAGAGACAGAATTATGTAGTGGTTTTAAATTCTCAAGTTTAACATTTAAGTTACCGTTCCTCTCGTATTTTAAGGGCCTCTGTCATGAGAAAATCTAAAAATGTTGCCTATAGGTGGAGATTATTTCGTAAATAAATTATCGCTAATTGAATAATACTTTCTTACATTTGCTGTTAATACGTTTTTAAAGTATAGTAGTAAGTAATCTTCAAAATCAAATAGAATATTATTTTTGTTTCAGATTTGAAAATGAAAAATAGGTGACGTTTCGCAGTAGGCCGAGAATGTTAAGATGGTTAGGTCCAAAGAAGGCTCCGACCCATCAACACCAAAGCACCGATGGTATCGCTACAGACGATCCTTTAGCAGTCATCGATTTTACGGGAAAATCTCGGAAAATTTATTCCGTCACCAGGTCAGCCCTTACTCATTATCATCATTTTTCTTTTTGATAAATTCCGAAAATAACGAGAAGTAGGTACATTTTTATAATCTATTTCAAACAGAAATATTCGCTGATTTTTCCTCTTATGAGATAGATGTTGTTGTCTTTTATATAAAAATTATAAAATGGTTGAAAAAGTATGCTGGATGAAGTTTAAAAAGGATGAATTGCACAAAAATTTTTAGAAAACTAGTCTGGAAGAGAACGCTTTATTTAATAAATAATAGAACTCTTCATTTTCACAATTTTTTTTATTTTTACTACGACAATTGTTTCGCTAACATAGTAGCTTCTTCAAGTGGAGTGTTACACTTTATTTAAAGGAATGCTTTATTTGGAAAACAAGGAAGACTCTAAAATCTCAGCAATATTAGTATTGCCACTATAAAACATCAAGAATATGTTAAAAATTGAATATTCTCTTCAAAAAGTTTTAAATGAATTCAAATACAAACCCTTAAATACCTCGATGTATAAACAAATGGAGTTGGAAATACTACTTTCAAATGTTTCCTTTGTATTTGAAACAACATTATCTTTCATAGTATTTGTTTCGATACAATGTAGCTTCAAAGTTTACTTTTACATTTAAAATTAAAGATGTCCACCTGTCCCAAATGTTAGGGACGGATGGACTACCGGATAACGAGGGTTAAATATTGATGTAAGTAATTAATAGCAACATCAGGCAAAATTTTCTGCCGCAAGGATTACTAAATATTTGTTATATTAATCGTTAAAATATCGAATATAATTAAAACCGTACACTCGTTTGCATCACTTATTTTGTTAAAATGTTTAAACAATTAAAGCTAAAAGATACTTCTTAGGCAATTTTATATTCGGAAAATGCATTTAAATGACAGATCTAAAACTATGACATCTTTATTAAAAAATCGATTAAAATAAATAATTTAGACCCCCAAATGAGAATGTAACCGGGATGTTCTTTTCAGATCAAATCCACTTTACGATGATGACGGTAACATTATTTCTTCGAACCATAGCAGTCCAAATTCGGAATTAGGAAAGGAGTATGGAAGGAATAAGTCGTCTTCTTCCGGTTACAGCGGAAGCCATCAAGGAAGCAGCAGTAACCAAGAACTGTTCGATTCAGAAAATGTTAAATTTCGCGAAGACACAATTTCGATATTAGAACAAAACGAAGACTATGTGAAGTCGATTCAGATCGGATGTGGTAATAAGAGACTTATGCAATCGCGTGCTTCAAGTCTAACAACTGGAACAGGGGCTAACCTGTCGGCGATTCCTGAAGGAAAAATCGACTGTTTGATTCCGAGTCCGATATGGCCCGACGAGCACCTATTGAAACTGACGCAAACTCGTGAAAACTTCAAAGACTCTCTAGTCGACGAAACGCTTCTTTTGTACACCAGCTTCAGTTACATCCCTGACGACAACAATGAAGAACAAAAAGACATTTCGGTCAAAGAACTCCTCCTCGAACTCTCGGAGTATGTGGACAAAATGTGCGACGTCGAAATCACGAAGAAACACGACCCAGAACAAGTGCTGCGATCGATCAAAGAAAAAATAACCACTAGTCTAGAAGCTTTAAAAAATTGCACGGAAGAAGAAGTGAGAAGGTTGTGCATCAACTTGAGCAACAAAGCTAGAAGCAATTCGGTCGTTAGAGCGCTCAGTAATTCTTCGTCCAGTGGTAATTCGAGTCAAAGTTCACCGGAATGGAGCGGCGGTTGTGGTGGTGGTGGGGGTAGGGTGAGGACATATTCGTCGGAAATCGAAGACATTTACCATTTACCGACTTCCGGGTCGTCTAGTAGTGGATTCAGTGACGTAAACAATAAACTAAACAATAGTAGGTATACGTTGTTCGACGATTTCGTGTGTGATCAGAACGATTTGAGAAACACGCTCATTTACGCGACTTTGTACCGAACGAAACTGAAGTTGTTGAGTGGTGCGAACGAACGAATTTTCGAACGGAACAAGTGGAACCGTTCGTCGAACACATCGAGCAATCAGAGTCGCAACAAGAATCTGCTCCGGGCCGCTCGCGACACGAAGCCGAGCGTGTGGGAACAGTATTACGGTGTTAAAACGGTACCTGTTAATGTTAGTACAACGTACGTGCCTAAACCTGCTGACGTGCCTTTATTTGTAAGTAATTTTTTACAATTTTATTATCTGCTCTTGTGGCCAGTACGTTTATTTAAACCTCTTACTTCGCGTAAAAAAGTACTGCAAATGGTTCGCGTACAAAGAAACCGAAAGATTTATTGCAATACAGTAATGGTTGATAGTAATACTGGTACTTGACAATTATAGATCTTAATACTGTTTTATATGGTAGGTATCTACTTGACGATTACGTCGCCATTGTTATTAATCTAGTACTCGACGATTACGCTCTCTCTGTACTATTTGTTCTGGTCTTAGACGATTACGGTCTCCAGTAATATTTTCTCTAGTACACTATGCTTACGGTTCCCACTAGTGATTTTTCTGATACTCGACGGTTATGATCCCCAACGGTACTAGGTGGATTATTGTTCTGAATACTACTTTCTCAGGTACTTGAGGATTACGTCCCCAGTAGTATTTTCTTTAGAACTTAATCATTATGGTTTCCTATACTATTTTCCTTGGTACTCAACTGTTACGTTCGCAATGGTACATTTTCTACTACTGGATGATTATGTTTCCCAATACGGTTTTGTCTGATTATAGACGATTACAGTAATTTCTCCGTACCCGATGATTATGGTTCAGAATAGTGATGATCCCCAACAGCATTTTCCGTGGTACTCGGTGATTATTGTTCTCAATACTACTTTCTCAGGTACTTGACGATTACGTCCCCAGTAGTATTTTCTTTAGAACTTAATCATTGTGGTTTCCAATACTATTTTCCTTGGTACTCAACGATTACGTTCGCAATGGTATATTTTCTACTACTGGATGATTATGTTTCCCAATACGGTTTTCTCTGATTATAGACGATTACAGTAATTTCTCCGTACCCGATGATTATGGTTCAGAATAGTGTTGGGGATGATCCCCAACAGTATTTTCCGTGCTACTCGGTGATTATTGTTCTGAAAACTACTTTCTCAGGTACTTGAGGATTACGTCCCCAGTAGTATTTTCTTTAGAACTTAATCATTGTGGTTTCCAATACTATTTTCCTTGGTACTCAACGGTTACGTCTGCAATGGTGTATTCTCTACTACTGGATAATTATGTTTCCCAATACTGTTTTCTCTGATTATAGACGATTACAGTATTTTCTCGAGTACCCGATGATTATGGTTCCCAGTGGTACTCGACAATTATGCTTTTCAATAGTATCTTATCTGGTACTTGACGATTATAATCCCTAACAATATTTTCTCCAGCACTCGATCATTATTTTTTCTAATACCAAATTAATACAATAAATAATATTTTCTCTAGTACTTGGTGATTATGGTTTCGAATACAATTTTCTTTGGTACTCGACGATTACGCCCAATAGTATTTTTTTTAGTACTCGATTATTACAGTTCTCAATATTGTTTTCTCTGATTATCGACGATTACGTCCTCTGTAGTACCTTCTGTAGTACCCGATGATTATGGTTCTCAATAGTATCTTTTCTGGTACTTCATAACGATGGTTTTCGTTTTCAATAGTATCTTATCTGGTACTTGACGATTATGATCCCAATAATACTTTCTCTAGTACCTAGTCGATGATTTTATTGTTCCCAATACTTCATTCTTTAGTACTCGACGATTACGATTTCTCTAGTACTCGATTATTGTTGTTCCCAATATTATTTTCTTTGGCATTTAACGATAACGTTACCTATAGTAGCACTCGAGTACTATAGCACTTTTTCTGGTATTCGATGATTATGATCCCCTCATAGTATTTTCCTTAGGACCTACTCGATAATTATTATTCCCATTGGTACTTTTTCTGTAACTTGACGATTATGGTTTCAATAATATCACTTTTGGGACACGTCGACATTGTTTCCCAATAGTTCTTTAAGTATTGATCAATTTTTTTATCCGCATAATTTATTATGAATTGAGTGTAGCACTTAACGTCTCGTCGATAAGTGAGACAGGTATTTTATATTTATATTTGTGACATATTTAACACGGCGTCTACATATTTACTGTGTTATTACAAATTACTTTATTAGATTAGTCGTAAAAGTATGCAGTAAAAATAGAAACGTGAAAATATCTGGTGATATTATTAATGTGTGCCGTTACATGTACCAGATACCTATGTAAGAAATTGCATAATTTACGACGCGAATATGTGAGCTTTCATACGTACACACACATGTGCTGGTTAGCCCAAATTTCGCTGCTTTACATATTTAACTAATTATGACAATTTGAGTGTGCTTTTTGTTTATGTATGCATATGTACACGATATATGTAAACCTCTATTAGATACTTTGTTTTCGACGTTATCTCTCTAACATGCGGTCTTTGGCGAAATAATCATCATAAACTTTATAATTTCACTCCAATACATAATTACGTAATTAAGTTGATTTTCAATTAAAAATTACTGTAATTATTTACCTTATTTAGAGTTAAAAAATATTTTTAGGTAGGTAGGCAATTTTAATTTAGCACATTTTAATTATTGAATTTTGCAAACATTTGCTATTTAGAAACTCAAAGTAAACATAGCAGGAACTTTTTTAATTCAATTTTTTTAGGTCAGGTTTCCAATATTCTTTTTTTATTATTCATAAAGTAAAGGACAAGATGCTTAAATAATTTTGCTCAATGTTTTCTTAAACCATCAAAATTAACTATTGATTTTAAGTACTGATTAAACATTTTGTGTGAAATTACCACAACTAAATTGCAATGATAATAACAGAAACTGGATGCCGTATCAATTAGTTAAGCAGAAAAGATTCTATTTTTTCCTTGAAAAATGGATTTGCCGAACCTTGAAACCAAGCCGAATTTTCCACATAGAAATTTGACAATAGATACAATCGGTAAGGTAATGAATTTCCTGCATCTAGGCATTCTGTTCATAATCAGTAGATAATATACGAATTAAAAAAATTAGGTGCCTTAAAAGTTTCTATGCGTTAGTTTTAGAGGACAATATGAACTAGTTACGCATGTTTATTGAGTGCATTAGTGTTACAAGAATGTTTGCAATAGTTTTATGAAACTACGTCGTACTTCTTGGGTTTTGCATCTTCTTTTAATAACATAAGTGACTAATTGTTGGTATCTAGGAAGTCAGATAAGTCAGGATGGAAGGAGCAGTAGAGATATAAAACAGATGATAGCGCAGGATAGAGTGGCCTTCAATAAAACAAAGTCACTTCAATACACACGAACGGTTAATTTAGAAATTAGAAAAAAATTGTTAAATGTGTACGGGTGCGAAATGGTTAGATGTGTTTGAAATGTGGTGATTCAGGCGAATGATGAGGATACCATGTATAGAAAAGGTTATAAATAAGGATAAACTTAAGAAATAAGTGAGTTACGTTGATAAGTCATCTTCTTAGACATGGAGGGGTAGCTAGAGACATATTAGAAGCAAAAACAGGAGTTAAGAGGAGTAGAGGTAGACCTAGATTACATTCCCGTTCACAAATAGTTGGGATGTAGGATGTTCTCGTTTTATGGAAATGCGAAGATTAGCTCAGGATAGAAAGAGGTGCGTGTCCAACCAGTCTTAGGACTGACGAACTTCTGATATACCTATTATACGTTCTAGACGATTTGAAAAACAATTTGTTGAGGAATACAACACAATAAATGAAAAAAACTAGGGAGTACATTCCATGTAGGTACTTCTGTGAAACTTTTCTTAAAATTTTTGTGAGTATCGTATGCTCTTTAGAAACGTTTAAAATTATCCTAGGTAAAAAACGAATTAGCTCAATAAAATTGAATCTACCATTGATGCTGTCAGACCGGCTCTGGTTAGGGGTAGAGGTAGACTCAGATAACCCAACCAGTCTTAGGACTGACGACCTTCTGATACACCTATTATACGTTCTAGACGATTTGAAAAACAATTTGTTGAGGAATACAACACAATAAATGAAAAACACTAGTGAGTGCATTCCATGCACCTGTCAAACTCTTCTTAAAACTTTTATGAGTAGGTCACATGCTCTTTGGAAACGTTTAAGATTATCCTAGGTAAAAAACGAATTAGTTCAATAAGATTGAATCTACCATTGATGCTAACTGTCAGACCGGCCCTGGTTAGGGGTAGAGGTATACTCAGATAACCCAACCGGTCTTTGGATTGAAGACCTTCGATGATAATGATGATGAGAGCTTCTTTAATTTAGGAGGTAAATACTAATTAACGTATTTTTTTATTTCCCATAAATATCTTACTATTATCACCACGCCGTCGTGACCTTTTATTGTGAGGTTTCAATTAATTTCTAACCGCGTCGACCATATGGTATACCATCTACCCATCCATCGATCAATAGGCTTCCTAAGGTGTTTTATTGCACAGTCAATTTGCTATAACGTTGATTGTTATTTGTGAAACTTGGCTTTGAATTGTTGAAAAATGACTGCGTGAACCCATGACCTTTTCCGAAAGTTCGCATATGTGTTTCCCATTTATATTATACATATGTGTACCTATATCTATCGCAGATAAGAAGAAGAAATAGAATGGAAGCTTTTGTCAATAAATATTATTTGTATAATTACTTTCCTTGTGTTAAAAATTGTTTGAAAAATTAAATTTAAAGGAATTGTTTGTAAATGGGTATGCAACACATAGTACATTTCAGCATAAGAAATTGCTGATACTAACTTTCATTTACGTAATACTACTTTGCCCTGTGCTAACAGCACACATACTTTTCTTTATATATAATATTTGTGTCTAAGTCGAGTAATATCTTATTTACAATTCCTATATTAGCACTTCATAAATAATAATTATCACAATCATTCATATATATGTACCTAATTTTTGCGTACAAGAAATTAAGGGCAATTACGTGAGGTCTCATTTTAACCATTTTAATTGACAATGTAAATTTCTCTTGCGTAAAAGTGTACATTACATATACCATAATACAACAGCAAGTGCAGGTTGTGGAAAGAATGGTGGTATTTAAAATTCTTTGTGGTGAAGT